GGCCAGAGATGCGGAGGGTGAGAGGATTCACCAGAGACAGAGAGGGGAGCACAATAGGCAGATCGACGAAGTACACTGCTGAGGGGAGCAGCGGGTGGGTCAGGAGAGGTCTGCCACGCCATGTGGTCACCCCCGGGGCAGGCGGGGATGGAACTCATGAGGAAGTGGCTTTAGCCTCTCAGTGCAGTGCTTTAACCCGCTGCGCCATCAGGGAGGGCCAATTAACATACATATTTTAATACAGTTGATATCATACTCTAAGTAAAATTTCATGTCCTTTTATTTTAAGATAATTTTGAATAATTACATATTTTATCATTATAAATATATTATATATTATGTAACCATTTTCCTAATACCTGACATTAGTTTCTTCTCATATTTGACTATTATAAGTTATGCAGCAATATTTTAGATATACCTTTCAGAAAATGTCTCAAAACTGGTATTATTAATTCAAAAGGTATGAACAATAAAACCAAAAGCACTTAAACATAAATAAAAACCACAAGATAACACCACTATCTACTGACCAAAATGGTTAAAAGATTATAAATATTAAGCATTGGTAAGAATATGGAATAACTACTTCTATTCACTGCTGGTGGACTGCATATTGGCACAGTGTTTGACACTGTCTTATAAAATTAGAAATATATTCACTATATGATACAGCAATCCCAGTCCTAAGTAAGTTCCTAGGAGAAATTAGTACGTATGTCCGCCAAAAGATATGAACAACAATGCCTTATTCATAATAGCCCCAAACTGGAAGCAATTTAAATGTCTATCAATAAAGAAAGGGATAAACTGTGCTATATTCATATATTGGAATTACTATGCAGCAATAAAAAGTACTCATATACACAATAATATGGAATAATCTCAAATTATACTGAGTGAAAAAATAGAAACAAAAATACATATAAATTTTAAATAAAAGCAAAATGAATCATGGCACTAGAAGTAAAATTACACCTCTGTAAGGTATATGAGAAAGAGCTTTTTTTTTTTTAAACTTTTTTTTTAAAGATTTATTTATTCGTACAGAACTGGGGTACAGGCCAGAGATGAGGAGGGTGAGAGGATTCACCAGAGGCAGAGTGGGGTACAGAACAGGCAGATCGACGAAGTACACTGCTGAGGGGAGCAGCGGGAGGGTCAGGAGAGGTCTGCCACGCTATGTGGTCTCCTCTGGGGCAGGCGGGGATAGAACTCATGCGGAAGTGGCTTAAGCTTCTTTGTGCTGTGCTTTAACTGGCTGCGCCACCAGGGAGGGCCCGAGAAAGGGCTTTTTATATTGAATCTTTTTCAATGTAATTTAATAATCCTCCTGAATATGTTTTTGACTTTTATAATACTTCATCAAAATGTATATAAAAATTAGTCATTTCTAATTTTTTATTATAAAATAATGCTCTGAAAATCATATTTTTACATAATTTCCTTAGTTTGCTTTATAGGGCAAATTCTCAGAATTACTAAGTCAAAAGTTTTGATCATTTATTTTCAGACTCTTGATATGTGATATACCAAATCTCTCTGCAAAACAAATGATTCAAGTTATACTCTCATCATTGATGAGAACTCCCAATTCACCACATATGGGGACTTTCCTAATCACCCTTTCCTGCTCCACTGTTGAGTATTTACTGCAAAAACAAAACAAAACAAAACAAAAAACCTCATTCACTAATTATAACCACTGTTAGTTTCTTATAGAAAAATTAACATACAAAATTAAAAAATAGGGACATTTAAAATCTTACCTCTTCATTTTTAATTGTTAACATCCCAGGATCTATGTGACACCCCAGATTAATATAATTAATTGGAAAAATATCCAAATCTAAATAAGTTTTGGAAATTACTGACTTACAGAATGATAACTACATGGCTGAACACTGGTTCATTGTATCATGGTTTCATTTATTATGCATTCATTATTTCTTCATTATATATAATAACACATACTAATTAAAAAATTACCTTTCAAAACATATAAAACATAAACAGCCTTCCAATGTTACTAGTTTGGTCTATGTACTGCCATAACTTTTGTGTGTTTATAAACAGACACACACATATGTATGGTTTCATTTTTTTCACATAAATATTATATTGCTCTTCAATTTGTTTATTTGCATGTAACAATAT